AATTTTATTTAAAATTTATTTAATTTCAAAATTTAATCAATTTAATTTTTTATATTTAATTAAATTGTAATATAATTAGATTTAAAGAAGTCTCTAATATAGAGGTATAAGCTTCCACTCTTCTAATGTTTTCTGATTTTCAATATGCCAGTACCTCTACAGAGATGAAAAGTTAAATAATAGTTATGTTATAAAAAATAATATTAGCAATAACTATACTAATTTTTTTTAATCTTTGAACTTTGTCTTTGTCTGCATTTAGTATGTAAAATATTCGGCACACTACTTCTATTTGATATTATTTTGTTATTCAAATAGTCTCTGTAAAAGTTAACTAAAGTTTTACTGCAAGATATATAATTTTTTCACCAATTTTGAGTATGGATATGATCTGGCCAAGAATCCTAGCATGTAAAATTGTAAGTTAGTAATATTCTTTATTTTGTAAATCACTTTCTATTTCTATTTCACCAGATCGACCTTGAGCCTTGAATGCAAGACAATCCTTAAGATTGCCCCCACCCCAGTAGGGTTAGTGTTATGTCAAACTTGAGCCTTAAACGTAAGACAATCCTTGAGACTGTCTCCGCCCCAACACTAACTTTGTAGATTGCTCTCGAGGCTTGAATAATACAAAACCTCGAGGTCCCACACACGCTACCAAATTCTCTATATTTTTAACTAAAAAAATACATTCACCTCTCTATATCTTGCAAGCAACTCCTTTGCTTTACTGCCCCTTTGTTCTTTATTGGTATTAGCTAGAGATTTAATGTAAATGCTTATTTTATCACCTAAGTCTTCAAGTTCACATTTCTGTAAGAAGTCTGTAATACCTCACTCAGAGTATCTCCGATTAAAATATTGATGTATCACTTCTTTAGACATGGTTGAAGCTTAAAAAAGCGTGCACAAGTAAAAAAATTTTCTTAAAGAGACGTGTAAGATACTGCCGATCAATATTCAGAGACGCAATAATCAGATGATATAATGAACAGGAGGAAACGTCCAAATATAGATATGATTTTCATTCTCCATTACACGGATCACTCATTGTATCGACCAGTCAAAATATCACTACGGGATTAGTCAACCAATCAAATTGCGAAATTTACAAAAAG